GAGCTGGGAGGGGGCAGAAGCCAGGAGTGAGGAGAGAAGCCCACCACCCCCTGACGCCCGGCACGGCGAGGGGCAGACACCCTCGCTGCATTGGTCCCCAGGGCGAGGTCCCTCTCTCCATCTGGCATGTGGGCAGGGGACGGGGGCACGGGGAGGGGGCTCAGTGTCCCACGGCAGCTCTAGCCCACAGCGCAGGGTGGGAGGGAGCATCCCGGACCCCCCAGGCCCTACCCGCTGCTCCTGGCAGGACACGAAGGTCTGGAAGCCGGGCGAGACACCGAAGCCCAGCTGATGGATGTAGGGTGGCTCGTCCTGGCTGTGGATCTGCACCTTGATTCCGGCTTCGAACGAGGTCTCGTCTGCGGCGGAGAGAAGTGGGGTGAGCGCAGTGCTGTACCCCGCTCTGCAGCGCTGCGCCGAACCCTGCTGACTCCCACCCTTCCCCTGGGTAAATTCGTGTGTCCGTCCATCTGTCCGTCTGTCTGCCACACCATGTCCTTGTCCCCTCCGCCTCTGACCCTCCTGGCTCCAGCACCCGGGGAGAGCGGCAGGGAAAGTGTTTGCCTCTATTTATAAACAAGTGATGGCTGCTTGTCTAAACTGATGGGGAGTTGCCATGGCGAAGAGCAAAGACAAGGAGGAAAAAAGGAAAGAAAAGGACCCAAAGTGATGAGAAATGGAAGGAGGGAAGAGGAGGGAGCTGAGGGATGTGGACTTGTGGAGTGGGGAAGGGGCTGGGAAGCACCCTGGGAGCTGCTAGTGGCCGAGGAGACCTGCTGGGAGAGCCGCTGGGGTGGTGGGTTACCTGTTTCCCCCCACACTGGCAGGTACTCGTCCAGCATGATCTCCAGGCCGTTGCCGGTGCCCCCCTTCATGGTGATGAGCCGGGGCTTCCCGTCCTGCCCCGCGTTGAAGGTGTAGCACTTCCCATAGCGGGTGAAGACCTGCAGGAGAGGACACGGGGCTGAGGCTGGGGCCCCTCTGCTGGCACCAAACTGTTGCTGGCACCACGGCATGAAGCCGGGAGGGCATCACCAGCCCCAAGACACAGCCATCCCCAGCCTGGGGGTACGATCTGACCCAGGCTCCTGCCTTAACGGGGTGTCCCTCACTGTTGGAACTTCCCATCTTTTGCCCCAGTAGAGGAGGAGACATCCCCCACCGAGGTGATGGGC